GTAATAAATAAATAAATAATAAATTCATTTTGAAAAATGTATAGGGTATGAACATGTATCAGAGATTTATTACACTCCAAGGAGGAAATGAATGTTTGGCAAAGCTGGTTCATAGGCTATTTTGAGAGTCTGGGTAACATTGGAATAAGATTGTGATATTAGATACAAAACTGGTTGATGGAATTATCTTCTCTATGGGATGGAAACCTACAAGTTAATAAGTAACTTCAATGTCTGGGCCCTAATTGAATAATAAATATCAAAGTCAAACACAGGGGGCTTCCCTGGTGGCACAGTGGTTAAGAATCCGCCTGCCAATGCAGGGGACATGGGTTCGATCCCTGGTCCGGGAAGATCCCACATGCTGCGGAGCAACTAAGCCCATGTGCCACAACTACTGAGCCTGCACTCTAGAGCCCGTGAGCCACAACTACTGAAGCCCGCATGCCTAGAGCCCGTGCTGCACAACAAGAGAGGCCACTGCGGTGAGAGGCCCGCGCATTGCAATGAAGAGTAGCCTCCAGTTGCCACAACCAGAGAAAGCCCGCGCAGCAACGAAGACCCAACACAGCCAAAAATAAGTAAATAAAAAATTAAAAGAAATAAATTTTTTTTTTTGCGGTACGCGGGCCTCTCACTGTTGTGGCCTCTCCCGTTGCGGCCTCTCCCGTTGCGGAGCACAGGCTCCGGATGCGCAGGCTCAGCGGCCATGGCTCACGGGCCCAGCCGCTCCGCGGCACGTGGGATCTTCCCAGACAGGGGCGCGAACCTGTGTCCCCTGCATCGGCAGGCGGACTCTCAACCACTGCACCACCAGGGAGGCCCAGAAATAAATTCTTAAAAAAAAAAAGTCAAACACAGGTCCATTCCCCAAGCTTAGGGATTGGCAAACTTTTTCGGCAAAGGCCCAGGCATGCAGGTTTTGGTTGCCATTACTCTTGTAGCACAAAAGCAGCCACAGGCAATGAGGAAACCAACGGGCATGGCATATTCCAATGCAACTTTAAATACAAAATCAGGTGGCAGGCTTGATTTTGTCCCAGAGCCCTCACATTTTGACGATCTCTGCCCTAGATATTTATTTATTTATTTGTTTTTTTCCTAAAACCCCTGCTTTTTAAAAAAATTTTTACTTATTCATTTTATTTATTTTTGGCTGCGTTGGGTCTTCGTTGCTATGTGCGGACTTTTCTCTAGTTGCCGTGAGCCAGGGGGGAGGGGGCTACTCTTCGTTGTGGTGCGCTGGCTTCTCTTGTTGTGGACCACAGGCTCTAGGCACGTGGGTTTCAGTAGTTGCGGCACGCGGGCTTAGTTGCCCCACGGCATGTGGGATCTTCTCGGTCTGGGGCTTGAACCCACGTCCCCTGCATTGGCAGGCAGATTCTTAACCACTGCGCCACCAGGGAAGCCCTGCCCTAGATGTTTAAATAACCCCTGGTCAGGCCTGTTCAACAGTGCTCCAGTATGGCATTGTTGGGATATGCCACACACTCCCCCTTCCCCTTATTTCCAAGGTTGGAAAATGTTTCTTAGCACCCCATGTTCTAGCCGCCCCTTCCACAGTGGTGCCAGGCAGACCTGTCTCCCTTAGACTAAGGAGAAGACGGGAATGGTCATTGGGACTCCTCTCGGGGCACGCCAAAATTGAGCTGTTGAAAACTCTTTGGGGGGCTGACAACTTCTGGAGCTCAGGATCTCATGTTGGTCAGAGAGTCAAAGGGCAAGTGTGACCAGAACTCCCTAGAGAGGACAGACTTCCACAGTGGCAGGGAGGGAAGCCCCTTCAGAGTTAAAATCCTCTCCCCATCCTGTCCCGTAGCCCAGTTAAGGCCAGGCCAGCCTCATCACCGCCAGGTCCCTGCAATCCTGGCAACGGTAGTGTTGCAAGAAAAGGTGGGGCACAAGAGGATGGTCAGGTCCCAGGTCTCAGGTGAGTTCCTGGGACGGGTCGCCAAGTATGGGTTCTCGGCTTCTTGCAGGAAAGAATTCAAGAGCGAGCCACAGTAAAGTGAAAGCAGGTTTATTCAGGGATATACACATTCCATAGACTGAGCGGTGGGCCAACTCAGAAGGCAAGAGGCCCCAGGGTATGGGGTTGTTAGTTTTTAGGGGGAGGGGAATTTCACAGGCTAATGAGTGGGAGGATTATTCCAACTATTTGGGGAAGGAGCAGAGATTTCCAGGAGTTGTGACCCACTTTTTGGCCTTTTATGATCAGCCTTAGAGCTGTCCTGGTGCCTGTGGGTATGTCATTTAGCATATGCTGGTGTATTGCAATGACCGTATAATGAGGCTCAAGTTCTACTGGAAGTAGATTCTTCGCCATCTTGGGTCTAATCAGTTCTAACTGCTTTATGTCCTCAGAGGCTACGTCATTCTTTTAAAGTTTGTGCCCTGCCCCCTTCCTTTCTCAGTAGTGTCAACTGAAAAAATAAATGCACAATCTAAAGGTTGAGAGTTATGTTTTATTCGGTGGACATACTGAGGACTTCAAGCCGGGCAGGCAGCATCTTAAGTAACCCCGAGTCGAAAAAAAAACAAAAAACCCCAAGAAAAATGCTCTGAGGAGGTGAGGGGGAGCCAGGATATATAGGAGTTTTGCAACAAAGGGCAGGTAGTCTGAACATCAAGAGATGACTGTGAATTAAAGAAAACCAGATATCTCAAGTTAAGGAATTTAGCACTTTTCTTTGTATGAGAAGATGTAAGAGTCTGGGCTCACCAAAATCATTCCTTTGATATGTACCTCAGCTATCTGGGGCCAGTATCCCGTGTTTTCACATCCTGCGTTTCATCAAGCTGCACCCTTGGGGTTGGCTGCAGTCTGATGCTGGCTAGCTGGCCGATATTCTTTGTTTCCTTCCTGAGTTCCCTCAGGGCTCACCGTTGGGGGCAGGGCTGCAATGGCCGACAGCTGCGGCATCTTTTGTTTACTGACACGGCAGGCAACATTTTATTTCTCAGTAGCATCCTTGGCCCAAACTTTCCCAGGATGACTCAGACGGGTGAAGGGGCATCATTACTGTCATTGCCTTCTATTCCTCCGCAGTTAAAGAGGCCCCCACCCACTTGGCCTGGAGAATCAAGGTTGGTGTGGGCCTCCAGCAAATGACATTTTCTCACCCCAGGTCTCAAAGCTTAAGTAGGAAAGAGTCCTTCCCGGGAAGTGGTGGGGGAAGCTCCAGATTTCCTTGGGGGCTCCTCAGCTGTTCCCCAGCCTTGGAGAAACAGCTGGAAAGCTGTTAGGGCTTCAGTAGCTAATCTGAGACCCCAGCCCCTGTTGCTTCAAACCGCTCGGGTGGGACTTTTATGCTAAGCTGTAGTCTGCAAAATATCAACCAACCAAAACCGACTCATACACTTATCCCTTCAAGTTCCTCTTATACCTGTGTTGACTGAAAACAAAACAAAAACAAAAATGCACAACCTAAAAGTTGCGAGTTATGTGGGATTTTTAAAAAAATATTTTTAAAATTTTAATTTTTTGGCTGTGTTGGGTCTTCGTTGCTGCGCGTGGGCTTTCTCTAGTTGCGGCGAGCGGGGGCTCCTCTTTGCTGCGGTGCGCGGGCTTTTCATTGCGGTGGCTTCTCGTGTAGCGGAGCACGGGCTCTAGGCGCGCGGGCTTCAGTAGTTGTGGCTCGCGGGCTCTAGAGCGCAGGCTCAGTAGTTGTGGCACACAGGCTTAGCTGCTCCGCGGCATGTGGGAACTTCCTGGACCGGGGCTCGAACCCGTGTCCCCTGCACTGGCAGGTGGATTCTTATCCACTACGCCACAAGGGAAGCGCCTTATGCGTGATTTTTTGGGGTTTTGGCCGTGCCACGTGGCTTGTGGCATTCTAGTTCCCTGACCAGGGATCGAACCTGGGCCCCAGCAATGAAAGCGCCGAGTCCTAACCACTGGACCTCCAGGGAATTCCTGCGAGTTGTGGGGGTGGCTTTTTGTTTGTTTTCTGGGTGGTTTTTTTGCCGCACTGAGCGGCAAGCGGAACTTCCCCGACCAGGGATCAAACCTGTGCCCTCTGTGGAAGCTCAGAGTCTTAACAACAGGACCACCAGGGAAGTTCCTGCGAGTTATGTTTTATCGAGGACCTTACTGAGGACAATAGCCTGGGAGACAGCCTCTCAGATTGCTCTGCGGAACTGTTCCAAAGAGGTAAGGGAGGAGCCAGGATATATAGGAGTTTTTTGCTGAAAACCAAACAAAACACTTGTAGTCAAACATCAAAAGATTACCGCTAATCACAAAAGACAGACATCTCAAGTTAATGATTTCAGCAGTTTTCTTCGGAAGATGAAAGAATCTGGGCATTGAAATGGTTCCTAGATATGCATCTTAACTATGTAGGGCCAGTATCCTGTTTTTCTCCATCCTGAATTCCCCTCAGGGCACACCGTCAGGGGCTGATGGCTTGATGGCGGCAACATTCTTTGTTTATTGAAATGGCAGGCAACATTTTTTTGTCCCCACCAGCATACACTTGCCGCCTCCCCGGCCCTCACCCAACTGCTCCCCTAAGAAGAACCTCACTAGGCTACAAGCCCACCTGGTAAACCAGTAACAACGCAGCCAGGAGTCTTGTAGCAGCTTGCCGTGGCAGGTGGATTATCCATACACAACAGTCTAGCCCAGGGGAGGCTTCTTCTGCCCCGGCTGGTCACACCTGCCCACTAACCCAAGGCTCCATTCTCCATTCAAGAGCCTTTTGCCATGTATTCCAAGGGCACATTTCCAAAGAGGGATCAAGGGGCAAAGGGAGCAGAGAGTAGAGCTCAGGGTTCCGGCTTAGCCTAGACAGAGATGTCTCAAAAGAGCTGCCCCCAGCGTTAGGAGCATGCGTCAAAACATGCCCGCAGGTGAGCCCAGGAGAGGACCTTCCCGACTTACGCATGCGCAGAGCCACCAGCCTCTCCCTCCGGCAGGCTTTTCTCGCGCCTGCGCAAGATCCTCCAGACCGATAGAGGGCAACGAGCCGATCCTCACATGGGTTTGGCACTGCCGGCATAATCCGGAAGCAGCCGCTAACCCGGAAGTGGTCGAGTTCTGGAGGGGGTGGCGGCTGCGTGTGAGGCTTGGGAGGCTGCTGCGACGCTAGGATGAACGCGCCTCCCGCCTTCGAGTCGTTCTTGCTCTTCGAGGGCGAGAAGAAGTAAGTGGAACCGGCCTGGGTGGGAGAGGGTCGCGGACCCTCGACCGTCAGCGCCCGCAGGTTCTGGGGCTTCTGTGCCCGTCCGCTGCCGGGGGGACAGAAGGTTTTGCTCTAGCTCCACAGAGCGCTTCACACTTGAGTCTGCAAACTTAAGACAGTACTAGGTGTTGGTGAGTCTCCCCATTCTGCAGATGACGAAACCGAGCTTCAGAGAGGTTAAGTCACTTTCCCAGGCGCACAGAAAGTGGCCGCTCTGTATTCGAACCCAGTGTGTCTGGCTCCAAAGTCCTTTTCCTCTGGGATCTGGTAGCCCCCCTCACTCGTCTTCCCGCCCACCACCTTTATGCTTGCTGCAGCCAGAATGATGGCTCCGAGACTCACACCGGCTCTTCATTCGCCGGTGTAAAACCTCCAGTGGCTCCTCATTGCCAGCAGGTGAAGGGAAATGTAATCCAGTGCTCAGATAGCCTGGATTTGGCTCCTGGATCCCCCACTTGAGAACTCTGTGCCTTTGGGCAAGTGACAGTCTGCCTGAGGCCCACTTTCCTCATCTGGAAAATGGGCTTATTACTGTATTAAATCACAGAATTTTCTCTAAGGGGAGATTAAATTAGGTAATTTATGTAAAGCGCTTAGTCCAGGGCTCAGCACAAAGAAGACCGTCTTAAACGCTGGCTTTTCCTTCTCTTAACTGCCTGGTATCCAGGGCTCTGCTCTGCGGTCTAGCCCCTACCAGGCACTTCAGTCTCCCTTGAGAGCGGTGGTTCTCAACTGGGGGCCATTTTGACCCCCCCAGAGGACTTCGGCAGTGTCTGCAAACATTTTTGGTTGTCATAAAGGGGATGCTCCTGGCATCTAGTGGTAGAGGTACTGCTAATACCCCACAGTGTACCAGACAGCCCCCATACAGAAAAGAATTTTCTGGCCTAAAATGTCAGTGGTGCCAAGGTTGAGAAGCTCTGCTTTAGGAAGAAGGAGTAGTCCAGAGGTGAGGTGAGGGTCCCGCAGAGCCAGGCGTGGCTGGGTTTGGGGTATAGCCACGGTGCTACTCTGAGTCACAGAGGACGTTATGGGATGAAGAGATGGGAAAGTCTTCCAGGAGGAGGTGGGACCTGAGCCTGCCTTGAAGGGCAGGGTTTAGACTCCGGGGAGGAGGGAAGCCCCGGCCCTCCCCACCAACCTGTTGCCTCTGCCTCTCCCTTAGGATCACCATTAACAAGGACACCAAGGTACCCAATGCCTGTTTGTTCACCATCAACAAGGAAGACCACACGCTAGGAAACATCATTAAATCGTAAGTTCCAAGTCAAAGGCTTTTGGGGGTTATGTTGCTCTTTGAGAGGCCAAGCCTAAGTTCCAGGAGATGTTCTCAAGTCTCTCTGAGCTCCAGGAAGTCCTTCTGGGTGCTGGCTCTAGGAATTCACACATCCCAGTACCTTTTCTTCAAAATGACAGTGACCAGTATCTGTTCACGTAGCCACCTTCCTGTGTTGGCTCAGTTATCTGACTAAAGGAGGTGAATGTGCAGCGAGCCACAGGAAAGAAGGCCTGCTTGGGGCTCTGTGCTCACAAGCACGGAGACGCATTCAGCATTGCTCACCCACCCCGCCCCCATTTGTGACAGTGACCTCAGTGACACCTGGCATTCTAAGATGTGTGTGCCAGAGACTGTAACTTAGTAGAATAAGGGAAGGAAGTGGGAGAGTGCTTGTGTGGTCATCCGGTGCCCTGGTGGGTTCCTGATAATTGGATGGTGGGTGTTTGCACCGGTGAGGTCCTGGCCTGGTAGGTGGCCAGCAGTAGGATTGGCCAGAGACTTGTCATTTCGCTGCTGAAAAGTGCCATCAGTGAAGCCATGCCTTTCCCAGGTTTGCATGTTTGAGACCGTGGGCAGGAGCTTGTCTGGTCTTCTGGTATAAGTAGGGGACGGAGTTGCCCATCTTCTTTGTGGATGCCTCCTGCCCAGCGCCAAGCCAGTGGTGCACCCAGGCTTTCCTGGGGCCCTGCTGCCCCCCCCCCCCCCCCCCGGTTGGGCCCCCGGTTTCCCCCCCGGGCCCGCCCCCCCCCCCCCAGTGCTCACATTTCAGGGAGCTGATCTGGAGAAAACCCCCACGCGCTCAGGGCACAGCTCACGATTCAGGCTTCGCTTCCCCATAGCCTCGCGGACCAGGACCCCATGCGTGTGGACGGCAGCTGCCAGTCTGCATTGCCCAGTGGATTTCCGTTTCCACTTTATTAAGTGCTCAGAGCCTGGGGCCTTCTCCCCCTGCTGCCTTTATTTGCTGTGCCAGATGCTCTTTTGGGGCTGGGAATGGGGCTTTTTTTTCCTGAACACTAGCTGGATTTTTACTGCCTAGGGAGGTTTCTTTGGGGCCGTTGAGGGTCCCTGATGTCTCCTGAGGGAAGAGGTTGCTGGAAACCGTGTTTACTAGGTAGGGTCGTTGATCCTCATGGATGTAGGTGTGTGTATGGGAGGAGTCCCCACATGCTGTATCTTCTTCACATGTCTGTCTTACTTGGACATTCTTGCAGGGGCTGCGGGGTGGTGACAACGACACAACACAAACAACTAAAGATCGAGAGCAGCTGCATTTGCTTACAGGCCCCAACCCAACGGGAAGACCCTTGGTTAGAAGGCCTGGAAGGTCACAAGGGGCCAGAGCCCCAAGGGCCCTAGGCTCACCACCCCCCCCCACTCCACCCATCCCTGTGTCTCAGGCAGCTGCTGAAGGACCCGCAGGTGCTGTTCGCTGGCTACAAAGTCCCCCACCCCTTGGAACACAAGATTATCATCCGTGTGCAGACCACACCGGACTACAGCCCCCAGGAGGCCTTCACCAATGCCATCACAGACCTCATCAGCGAGCTCTCCCTGCTGGAAGAGCGATTCCGGGTGAGGAGCTGGGTGTGCCCGAGGGGCTGGGGTCAGTCTGGACGCCAGCCTGCATGGTCACAGCTGCAGCGTGTTCATGCCCACACCTAGGACGATCCCCGGGTTGTCTCCTCTGATTTATTCGGTGGGGGAAATGGGGGCTGGGCGGAGGTGATGACAGAACAGGGGTGTACACCACAGCATCCGGGAAGTGTGGACTGAGGGGTCATGGAGGTGAGGCCTGGGGCCTGCTGTCTGCACCCAGGGGTGGGACCTCACCCAGTGCCCAGGGTCTCCCTTTGTGCTCTCATGGTCCCCGTGGAAGCAAGGGGCCTGCTGCCTGGGGCTGTCCCTCCAAGCCTCTTCCCTGTGGTGCCGCTGCCCTGTGGTTTATCTGTCTAGGGGGCAGCTCTTCTTATCGTGGGGTACCACCATCAAGAAGGCCAGATGGGTGTGGTCACATCTCACGCAGGGGGTTTCAAAGTCCAGACACGATTTAGAGTGGGAAAGATCCACGGCTTGTCACATTTTCAGTCTGTCAGTCATAGGCTCACCAGGAAGCACCTCTACTCCCCTCCCTCCCTGCCACCCCAGGCAGCAGGACCTGTGCTGCAGGGAAGTCATGGTGGGGTGGGTAGGGCTGGCTAGAGGGTCCCTGGGGTGCTGGCTACCCGGTGCCGGAACCGTTTGGGGCCCCTGGCCAAGGTCCTGGCAGCCCTTGTTCAGGGAGGCTGAGGCTGCGTTCCCAACATCCTCACCCGGCCACTCCAGCTCAGGGCGCCGCCTCCTTCCTCCCCCTCAGGTGGCCATCAAAGACAAGCAAGAAGGAATCGAGTAGTGGGCTGCACCCGGCCCTTCTCCAGGCACCAGGTGGACAAAAGCACTTCCTCCAGCCGTGGGCCTCCTTGTAGAAAGTCCCTCACCCCTGACACCGATGTGTCCTGTACACAGAGTCTGTCTTACCTTCCTAATAAAGTGTGGCAGGAAAAGACCCAGCTGCGGGCTGAAGCAGAGGTGACTTCACAGCCTTGGGTCAGTCCAGTGGAGGTGGGGGACCTGTTCCGGAGCCACTCGGGGGCCTCATTTCAGGACTGGCCCAGGGAGCCAGATTTCTGTCTGAGAGGGTGGCAGGAACAAACTCATTCTGGACAAAACCCGGGAACCTGGGCCTGCCCGGCGGCGTCTCAAGCAGAAGGAACTGAAAGCTCGTGTGCTTCCAGGCGTCCCTGCCCTGGGAGCCTCAGCTGCCGGGCCTGCCTGCCTCACTCAGCGGGGGACACCTGATGGGGCCCACAAACAGCTCCCCCCAGGTTTCTCTTACACAGTAGACTTTAATAAAAAATAGCCACCGATAAGAAGATCCCCCTCACGACCCTAAAAGCTGAGTAAGTTGCGTCCCACAGTCAAGGCTGGTTTCTCCTCCAGATGGCGACAATGTTGGAGTCCGTCAGTGCCGTGAGGTAGGTAAAGGTGGGGTCAGCCACCACCGTGTTCACCATGGTCCTGCTCACTGTCTGGCCCAGGGCCCGGGGCTGGGGCCACTTAAGGATCTGGAGGGGAGAGAGAGGGCGCTGGGCTCCTGCTTCCTGACATGGGCCCCCGGGCAGCGCCAGCCCTGGCGGGGACCACAGTGCGCATGCCTACCTGCGTGGGGGCCTGCGGGGTGGCCGGCGGCGGGGGCCTCTGCGCCACAAGGGGCCTGACGTCGTAGATCCACACGTTGCCCTCCTCGTCCCCGCAGAGCACCATCCCCTCATCTGCCAGCACAGAGATGGGAATGTGAGGTGGGGCGGAGCTCCCAGAGGTGCAGGGTTAGGGGTGGCTGGCAGGCGACTCACCAGGACAGGTGCTGAGTGAGAAGTAGGCGAGCTCGGTGGGCGACCACTGCAGCCGGGCCAGGACCACGACGGCCACTGTGGACCGGCTGCCCCGGCCCTGCCACGTCTGGCTCCAGCTCCACAGGCAGATGGTGCCCAGGCTACTCCCTTTGGAGGCTGTCGGGGAGAGTGAAGAACTGTGCCCGGGGGCCCCTCTCCGGGCAGCTCGTGTCCCACAGTGGGGACCCCTCCGAAGCCCTCGGACCTAAACCCCAGCCCAGGGAGAAGTGACCCCAGAAGGCCTGACCAGGGCCCATCTGGGTCCCAGGAAGTCAGACTGTCCCGAGCTAAGCTCGCTCACCCACGACGTCCTCGTTCACGAACGCCAGCCCGTCCACTCTCCGTCCAGTTGCCTCAGAGCCTTCGGAGAAGACGAACTCCACCTCACACACCCTGTGGGGCAGCGGAAGTGCTGGTCAGCCAGGAAGGCTGCACACAAAGGGCCGCTCGCTCATTCAGACACCTGCTGGGCACTTACTCTGGGCCCTCCCTGGCTTCCAGGGCCTGGAAGGGGGAGCCAGCACCTGAGTGTGCTGAGTCACAGGCGGTGGCAACTTAGGGGGCGCAGGGGCATGGCTGGGAAGGGCTCCGGAGTGAGGCAGCGCTTCTGAGGCTGAGTGAGGTGAGCAGTTCACTGGCCAAGTGGGCGCTTCTAGGCCCAGAGACTTGGTGGGGGCGGTTTGCTCTGACCCTGAGGACAGTGGGGAGTGGCTGCGGGCACACTGCTTGGAGAGGCCACCCAGCAGCTGCCCGGAGTCCTGGAGCCAGAAAGGCAGCTGAGTACCATCCACGAGCAGCAGACACATCTGAGACGTGGGGGAGACGCCACAGGACTTGGGGACCAGGCAGGGAGGGAGGAGGCAGGCCCAGGGCTTGACTCCCAGGTGTGGCAGGGGGACACCACCAACACCTGGCTGGACAACCGCTACGGTCTGTGCTCAGGTGTCACTACAGTTCCCTCCTGCCACCTGCCCTAAAATTCTTCCCACGCTATTCCCCGCGCTCAGGATAAAATTCAAGATCTCACCAGGGCCCACAGGGCCAGTATATCCCCTGGCCCAGGCAACCTTGCCACATCACCTTGTGCCAATCCCTCCAGTTCTCCAAGCTGTGGCCAGCTGTCCCTGGTCATACAGCTGTCCCTGCCACTGGCCCTTTGCACTTCCCCCGTGTGAGCACCCTTCCTGCCTCTGCCCACGTGACTCCCTTGGGAGTCATGGAGAGCATGAGCCTGAGGACCTGTCCATCTGCCACTGGTCACCTCGGAGTCCCCTCGGCCTCCCTGCTCCTCTCGGCGCACCTTATTCTCCTTCCTCTGTAGCTGACATCAATCGCACTTTGTGGGGTTTTAATGCCCATCTCCCCCACCAGGCTCTGGGCCGCACAAGGTCAGGGGACCCCTGCCGAGCACTGTCTCAGGCCTTCCAGGTGATACAGAGGAGCCACACGCCTTCACCTGGCTCTTCTGGACCTTCTCCTGGCCCAGACACCATCCCGTTGTCCTCCACTAGCCCTGGGATGTGAGTTACTGTCCCCACTTTGTGGATGACAAAATCATGTTGGGCAGAGGAAGGTCACACTGCTGGTGAGTGGCAGGACTGGGCAGTGATGAGGTGATCAAGCCTAGAGAGGGAATGGACCTTTCCTCAAGAGATGGGCAGGAGGTGGGGACAGGACAGCTCTGTGAGGAGGCCCGTGAAAACAGCCTCTGGTTGCCCAGGGCAGGGGGCATGGTGCGGGCATCACTGTAGCAGGCGTGCCTGGGGTCAGACACCTGGACTGGGGGCTGCCTGGCTTCGAGGACTGGCTTTCAGGGCATCCCTGCCCGTTCTCACCTCCTCTTCTGAGGCTGGTCCAGCCGCACGTCCCAGCAACGGCAGCCGCCCTCGCAGCCGGCCAGCAGGTAGGCATCCGGGCAGGAGGCGACGGGGCAGAGGCGCAGGGCGATGGAGGTGGTGTCGAGTGTGAGCAGCTGGCTGCCGGCAGGTGAGAGGGAGGGCGTGAGGCCACAGACTCAGGTGTGTGCCCACCCCCACGCCCATCCCGCAAAGTCCTGCTGCAAAGCATCACCTGGCCTGGAATTCGTAATCGTGGTTGGGCACCCCGATGTCCCAGAGTATGATCCGCTTGTCATAGGAGGCCGCTGAGGAGGGGATGGGAAGGAGAGAGGTGGCCCTGAGGAGGCCCTGCTCCCTCCTGCAGGCTGCATCCCAGGCTGAGACCACGGCCCCAAGGCAAGGAGGGAGGGCCATGGCTGGGAGAAAGACTCCAGGGCCTACCATCCTTATCTTACTCTAACCTATGTGCCCCACGCCACGCAGCCACGTCCCACAGTCTCCGCTCAGATATCACCCTCATCACACCCAGAGGGCCAGGGGATCCACCCAGATCCCCAGGTCATGGACGTGGCCCAGGTTGTCAGAAACCTCCAAAGCCACAGAGCAGGTTGGGGGGAAGAGACAGAATCTGAAGCCTGGTCAGTTGTCTGTGAAGCCCTGATGTTCCTACCAGTCTGCACTGACCTCGGCAGCCAGCATGAGGCCCGCCAGCCACAGGAGCTCCCTGCCATCCCAGGAAGGAGTCCTGAGGCGTCAGGCTGCAGGACGGGTGCAAAGGGAGCCCCGGAGGTTCGGGGAGGGGGTCTTACTGAAGAGGTGGGTCTCGTGTGTGGGGCTGAAACAGAGAGTCGCAATGGCCTTCTTGTGGGCCCGGATGAGCCCGCAGCAGAAGCCGGCACGCACGTGCAGCAGCCGGACCAGGCCCCGCAGGCCTGCAGCTGCTAGCACGCTCCAGCGCTTCTTGTGGCCTGCCTGTGTGACCACCGTCAGGGCCGTCCAGGCCACTGAGAAGAACTCCTGGGGAGGGAAGGGGAGGGGTCACCGAGGGGCAGAGCTACACGCGTGCACACGCGTGCAGGATCAGGCCCGGGAACGGAAGCCCAGCATCAAATAAAAAGGTCACCTGGTGAGTAGGTGGCCAAGTCTGGCCCCCCGACCCCAGCACTCCTACCCCCAGGAGCCAAGGCTCTGCCTGCCACCCTGCAGGAGCAGAGCCCCGGCACTCACCTCACTAGGCGCCTTGTACTTGTGCAGTACGATGCCTGTCTGGCAGTCGATCACACACACGGCCTCCCCGCCACACGTGGCCACGGTCTGGGATGTGGCCCCTGCCTGCCCTGTTTGAGAGGTCAGCCTGGTGACCCACTGCAGCCCCTCCTCCTGACCCTGAGGACACTGAGCTCTCTGTCCCTCCCGATTCCCCCGTCCACCCAGGCGGCCCCTGCACGTGGTATTCCCAGGCCCCGTGCCCAGAAAGCTTGCCCAGCTTGTTCCCTGTGGCCCTCGCCCCGCCTGCCCCCCGAGGACGTGCCCTCGTCCCAGGCTGGCTCGAAGGCACAGGCCCAGAGTTGGGTCTCCAGGTCACGAGGGCTGTTGTTCTTGCTGTGGCACTGCAGGAAGTGCAGGGGCTCCAGCTGCAGGGCAGTCTGTGGGAGCAGAGGGGGGTCATGGCTGCCCCCGGGCCTTGCTCCCACCACACGCCCCCTGCCACCTTGCTAGCTCACCTGGCTGCCAGCAGAGCCCACAGGGCTGCCCTCCACCTGGGCCAACGGGGAGGTGCACACCCGCTTGTTGGGAGAGACGTGGACTGGGCCATCACCTGGCCGCTTCGAGGCCACTGGCCCGGCCTGCGGAGGAGGGGGCGGGGGCAGCCCGAGGGCCTGGTGACCATGTGTCCATCTGCCAGGGCTTCCTTCCTCCCCATCAGAGGCTGCACTGCACCTTCCCATGGGTACGGTAGGCCAGGGGTACCAGGGTCAGAGGGAACCAGCTCGAGCATAGGAGGCCATCTCCTGGGCACACTGCCAGGACGTCTTCCTAATGCCTCCCTAGGCAGGAAGGGCCAGGGCAGGCCCTGGGAGCCCAGGAGCCCCATGGAACCACTCACCCTAGGCTCCTGGATAGCGGTGGCTTCTGGGGGCCTCTCTGAGATGTTTGCCTCATGCACCTGAGTCCCACCAGAGGCCAGCAGCTCCTCAGAGATCATCCGCACCTGGGTGGGGCCAGGCCATCAGGAAGCTGAGCACATCCCGGGGGCCTCCAGCCCCTCCCCAGACGCCCAGTCAGAGGGTGCTTCCCCAGCTGGGGAAGAGTCCTTCCAGCCCATAGGGCTTCCTTCCCTGACCTGCCCACTCCCCACATCCCCTCATGGCCAGAGACCTCCAGGGCGGCTCAGGCTGTGGCAGCCAGGGAGGAGCTGGGAGAAGCGACTCGCAGCACAGCGGGGTGAGGACATACCCTCCACTGGGTGAAGTCGCTGAGGGACTCGGGCCCATAGCGGACATCTCTGATGGCCGACCTCACAAAGTCTGCCTGGGCCTTCTCAGCCTCCTCGTCTGGGCTCAGTGCGGCCATGAACTTCTCCCAGTGAGCTGTGACCTGGCACGAGAGGGACCAGATTCAGGCTCAGCCCACCCCGGCTCTCCTGGACCTTCTGTGGCACCTCTGCCTCTAATCTCAGGGCCAGAGCTGTCTCAACCTCACCGCCTCTGGGACGCCTCCCCGAATCACAGCTTTCTCAGCTGCAGGTTGCACAAACGCAAGCAACACAGAGGGAGAGACAGGCCCTGAAGGGAGGAGCTGGCCCAGGGTAAAGTCACCGTGAAAGCGTCCCAGCCTCCCCTGCCAGGGCAGGACCTCCAAGGACAAGAGGCCAAGCGCCACAGCCAAGCTCAAAGCAACAGGTCGGGCTAGGAGCTCAGGGCCACTTGGGGTTGGGACAGAGAGTCCCTGTAACCCCCCTTGGTGTCCTCCAAATGTCCAGTTCTGTCACTCACTCCTCAAGGCCCCCGACTGCTCCCAAGCACCAGAGACACCGCCCCGCCCCTTACCCTGCTGGTCAGCTCCCGGTTCAGGTTCTCCACCTGAGAGCAAGTGGAGGAAGCGTCCTTGCCGTTGACCTTACGGAGCTTGGGCAGGAGGAAGGAAACTTTCAGGTTGTCACTGACCTGGGGGATGAGAGAGGAGAGTGGCTCGGGGTCACCCCAGCCTGTGGCTGAGCCCGAGCCCCCAGGGTGCTGGCCCGGGATGCGGGGCCGCCCACGTACTGTCAGAAAGGGGTTGCCCTCCAGGCTGAGCTCCTCGAGCTGTGGGAACTGGCACAAGACAGTGACGTCGCCCAACTGGTTGTTGGCGCAGCGGAGGATGCGCAGGTGGGACAGGCCCAGGTTGGCGGGCAGTGTCTCCAGTTGGTTGTTGGAGAGGTCCAGCTCTTGCAGCTGCTTCAGGCGGCTCAGGAGCTTGGGGTCCAAGTGCTCTGAGAGCAGATTCATCCCTGACAGGCTAGGGAGAGGGGCAGACAGGGCGGGCTCAGGGGGCAGGCAGGCCTCCCACCCCGCACGCACGGCAGCCCAGGTTGCCTCCGACGGCTTTTGCACCTGACATTTCTCCTGCGTGCATGGCCGATCCGCAACGTTCCCCCACTTACTTTAACCCTGTCCCTACTTTATAACTTGGGGCAGCTGGCCCCCTCCAGGATGCTTTTCCTGATCCTCTAGGGGGGCTTTCTGTGCTCCCCAGTCCTCTGTAATTCTCTCAACAGGTTGCTCCATATTCTTTCTGCAAGACTGTCTCCCTAGCAGCCCGGACCCTCTTCTGAGGTAATGCCGCTCCGGGCCTACCCGACCCATCTCATAACGAGAGAACGGCGTTTGTCCCGAATGATTAAAGACTCTGTCGAACCGACAGGGCGATAACGGGGCCGGGCAGGGAGAGAGGAACGGTCCCAGGCTTTCTTCCCGACCGTCTGCCGACCCAGGCCCTGGTGGAGGGCGGTGTGGCCCCGGCCCTTACTCCAGACTCCGGATCTTCCCCAGCCGGTCGCACTTGGGTCGCCCCCGCTGGATCAGCAGCCGCGCCGAGAGGGGGCCCATGGCGAGGAGGCGCGGCCCGCGGGGACCTGATCGGCGGCACGCGAATCCGGTGCTGGCGCCGGCGGTTGTCCGATTCCAGGAGGTGGCGCCGCGCGAATCCGTCGGCGGCGGCGACCGGAAGGAAGCGGCCGCGCGGACCTCGTACCCTGCGCGCGCACTACAACTCCCAGCGGCGCCCGGGGTCCCGCGCCTGCGCCCTGGCCGCCAGGACGCGGCGATGGCGGCTGCGGCGGTGGTGGCCCCAGAGGTCCTTCGGGAATGTGGTTGCAAGGGTATCCGGACGTGTCTAATCTGCGAGCGGCAGCGCGGAGGTGACCAGCCCTGGCAGCACCAGGTGAGGGCTGGGAGAGGGGCCGCGCCCACAACTCCGTTCTTCATCCGGGGAAACTGAGGCCCGGGTTGACCGTGAAGACGGGCTCCGGATCAAACCGTGTCAGCGGCCCTGGCGATGGGGGCGTTGCGGGGTGAGGAGATGAGGGCTTTGAGCAGTGGGCCTGGAGTGGGAAAGGGGCTGGGACGTGGATGCAGTCCGACCACAGCTCACCTCTGGAACCTGGGGGGGAGTCTGACAGCATACGTAGCCCCCCCGTGTCTGGGGCTGGAAGCTTCACGGGCTCGTGGTTAGACGACACGGAGAGAGTAGGGGGTGCTGAAAACCAGGGCAGAGGGCCCCAGAAGGCCTTGGACGGAAACGGGCAAGGAGGAAACTCATTCCAACGAATTAACAAAAAAGGACTCAGAGGCTTTGAGCGGGGCAAGGGCCTTCCAGCGGGGCCAAGGCCTGGGGAAGGTGGATGATGCTTCAGGTGAGGGAGATGAGGTCGGTGGGGCCTGACCACGGAAGGCAGGCGGGACCTGTTCTGAGGGCCATGGCGAGCTCTTGAGGGTTTTAAAGGAAGTTACCTGTGAATTTTAGAAAGATCCTGGGAAGAGGAGGGGTGGATAGGAAGGAAAGGAGGCTGGGAAGCCAGTGAAGAAACTGTCACAGTGTCCGTGATAAAAGCTCAGAAGGTCCTGTGAAAAACAGTGGCGGTTCCTCAGAAAATTAAATGTAGAGCTACCATATGACCCAGCAATCCCACTTCTGGATATGGTCCCAAAAGAATTGAAAGCAGGGTCATGAAGAGATATCTGTACACCCATGTTCATAGCAGAGTTAGTCACAATAGCTAAAAGGTGGAAGCAGCCCAAGTGTCCACGGACAGATGAAAGGAAGAACGAAATGTGGTCCATCCGTACAGTGGAATATTACTCAGTCCTAAAAAAGGAGGAAAGGAAAGTCTGGCACGTGCCACCACACGGCTGAACCCTGAGGACATTATGCTGAGTGAAATAAGCCAGTCGGAAGACATACTGTACGATTCCACTTACGTAAAGTCGCCAAATTCACAGAGACAGAAAAGAATGGTGGGTGCCAGCAGCTGGGGGGAAGGGAGGGGGAGAGGTGTTAATGGGTAGATTTAGTTTTGCAAGGTGAGAAAGTTCTGGAGATTGGTTGTACAACAATGTGATATACTTAACACACTGAAATGTGCACTTAAAATGTGGCTGAGGATCAATTTTAAAGGTATAACGTATATGTGGTTGTATATATTTGACCACAGTTAAAAACTTTCTTAAAAAAAGAGTTTTTCAGACCTTGCCAGAGGTCTGAACTGTGCCCACGGCTGTGGGTGTGGAGGCTCAGGGTACCGCGGGGGTAGCATCTTCGCAACCTGATGGCTGAGGGACGAGTGAAATGTACGGGATGACTCCTTAACTTTCCGTGTGTCCCATGTGAGGTGCCAGGAGACAGAGACATGGTGGTTCAGGGTTGGGGTGTGGGTGCTGGCGATGCCTGTAGAACATAAAGCGGGAGGACGCAGAATTCACTGGGCAGGGAACACCTTAGACTGCCCTGTAGATCTGACAAAGTCCTGGCCAACCCAACCGGAAGCTCCGGAGCAAAGACGGCCTGGTAGGCAGTCCCACGTTGGGCAGAAATGGCCAGGCCTGTGCTGGGTCACTGGCTGGAGGCCCAGGAGAAGGGTGGCCTCTGCTCAGAACCAGAGGCAGATCCTGAAGGCCCTGCCACAGGAGGTTGTCTAGCACTCCTCTGGGTGACTGGCAAGTTCTGCTCTGTTTTTTGTGGGTTTTTTTCCCAAAATTTTATGTATGTATGTATGTATGGGGCCGTGCCACTCAGCTTGCGGGATCTCAGTTCCGCGACCAAGGATTGAACTGAGGCCATGATGGTGAAAGCACCTAATCCTAACCACTAGACCACCAGGGAACTCCCAGTTTTGCTCTTTTTTTTTTTTTTTTTTTTTGTGCGGTACGTGGGCCTCTCACTGTTGTGGCCTCTCCCATTGCAGAGCGCAGGCTCAGCGGCCATGGCTCACAGGCCCAGCCGCTCCGCGGCATGTGGGATCCTCCCGGACCGGGGCACGAACCCGTGTCCCCTGCATCGGCAGGCGGACTCTCAACCACTGCGCCACCAGGGAAGCCCTGCTCTTTTTTGATGGGAAATTCAGGCAGCGCCAGTGGCTGCCACAGTGTAGGGCAGGCCCCAGAGACACCCACACCGTGGCCGGAAAGGGCTTCTCCCTCTGGCCTCCCAGCATGTGCTGCTCACCTCCTGGGCAGGCCCGTGGCCTCAGCTTTAGGGCAGCAGATTTCTCCAGCTCCTGGTCAGGGCTGGCTGCCTTCACACAGTCCTCCCCTTTAGCCCTCACCAGCCTGGGGAGGGCAGACAGTGCCCCACAGCGACACAGGAACAGTGTGGCCTTGGAGGCTGCGCCCCAGCTGTGCAGCCTCAGGCTAGTTCCTTAACTTTGCTGAGCCTCAGTCACCTCATCTGTAAAATGGAGGACGAAAGAATGGTTCTGCATACTCTCTTCCCTTTTACAGACGGGAAAGTGAGAAAGGCAGGGGCTGAGGGCCTTTCCCAGGAGGTGGCCCTGGGCAGGGCTCCCGCCTCCCTCTAGATTCCAGCTGCCTCCCAAAGTGCTGCAGGGCATGGTGCAATGCTGGGTGGGGCTGCTTCTCGGGCCGTGTGTATGCAGTGTGCGGAAGGGCTCCAGTGGCTCCAGGACCTCTGTCCCCTGTCTTTTTTTTTTTTTTTTGCCGCACCAAGTGGCATGCGGGATATTAGTTCCCTGACCAGGGATTGAACCTGGGTCCCTCGCAGTGAAAGCGCCGAATCCTAACCACTGGACGGCCAGGGAATTCCCACCCGTCTTTCTTTTGCAGAAAACACACCAGTTCATTTACTACGCCGACACCGGCTGGGCTGTAGGGGCCGAGGAGTCCGACTTTGAAGGCTGGGCCTTCCCCTTCCCAGGCGTGACACTGATCGAGGATTTTGTGACCCCGGCGGAAGAAGCTGAGATGGTACGGCTGATGGACCGCGACCCCTGGAAGCTCTCACAGTCCGGGCGGAGGAAGCAGGTAGGCTGGGCCAGAGCTGGGCAGAGAGGGCAGTCACACCACGGGGCCGTGCCAGGCTCCTGACCCCAGAGCCCCTTTGCTCACCTCCCTCTCAGGGCCTTCCTTTGCAGCCACCTTCCACCACTCCCCAGAGCCATTAGGCGACAAGCCCGCCGACCGGGGCGAGGGGGGGTGGGGGCAGGGCTGCTGAATGGGGTGTGTTGGGAAGGGGCAGGGCCAGGGGCCTGGGCATGGCCTGCTCACCTTCCCACAAGGCGGGGCTCAAAGGCAGACGGCCACTCAGCTGTCTCTGCCCTCTCCCCAGCTGGCCTAGTGCTGGTAACCCTCACAGAGGGTTTCTCGAAGGCTGCCAGTTGCCCCCCATCCCCCTACCCCCCTGTCCAAAGTTCTCCCTGTCAGTTTCTAGTCTCCCCAGCCCTCTTCCCACTGATACTTGGGCCTCCAGATCCTGAACCTTCCCTTGCCGGGCATCACAGTCCCCTCCTCCCTGGGTCCGCTCTTCTCCTTTTCTGTTCCTCACCCCCAGCAATCCTCGCCCCCTCCAGGACTTGCGAACCAGCCATCGGCCACCTTTCCACATTCCCTCCCCCTCCTGTCATGTGTCCTCACCCATCTTCAGTCCTGTGACCAGTTAGTACAGGCACTTGCTCAGGTGCCCCTCGCCCTTTCTCCTCTTACTTGTGCAGGCTCTTTCCTCTCACCCACAGCCCTGGTCGGGTCCAGCACCCGCGCCCCCTGCTGGCGGCCGCCCTGGCTCTGGCTCTCCATCCCGAGCCGGGCCCTTCCCACTCGGCCGGTCGTTCGCTTTGCTGCCCTCTTTCCAAACCTCACCTTCCCCTCCTCACTCCCCCCTGACGACCGGGCCTCTCTGAGGCAACAGGTGCATCTACAGAGGTTCCCTTCTCGCCTGTGCCCGGCTTCTTCCCGAGCCCCACTCCAGCTGCACACCAGATGCTGCCCGTCTTCTCGGAACTCCTTGTCCCGCATCGCCCCCTTCTGTCCTCAAGGCTGGCTCTTTCCCACCGGCCTCCCAGTAAGCTCTGTCTCTCTCGTCTCTGCAGCAGAGCTTCTCAGAAGAGCTCTCCGTTCTCTTCAGGTCCTCTCTTCTTGCTGCCGCTTAACCCACTCAAAAACTGCCTCCATCGCCCACCTCCTGCCTAAAGCCAGTGGCTGGTTCTCGGGCACAGTCCTCAGGCCTCTCCTTTTCCTTCTCCAGACACTCCTTACTGATCTCAGTGAGGCCCGGCCCCGCACGTCGGTGAGTTTGGGGCTCCCACACTCGTATCTCCAGCCCTGGCATCCCTAAGCTGAGCCGTGGCTCCACCTTGGCGAATTCCATCTTTCACCTGCTCAGGCCAGAAACCCTGGATCTTTCCACGTTCCTCTCTTTCATTGGTAATTCCTGTCAGCTCTGTATTCCTTCAAAACATATCCTGAATCTGAGAACACACACCCCTTGCTGCTGCCACTACCTGCCTCTAGCACTTCCTGGGCAGCCCTCGGTCCTCCTCAGTTGGTTTCAGTAGGGAGGAAGTGATCCCACCGACATCCGGTCAGATCGAGTCACTGCTCTGTTACAGGCCCTCCAGGCCTCCCATCTCAACGTAAACACAGAGGCCTTACCATGCCCCAGGAGGCCCTGCACTGGCCGCCAGCCCGATCTTTGTCTTCTCTGCTGCTGTCTGCTGTCCCCACGGCAGTCACCCCCACCTCCTGGGTTCCTCGGAGTCTCCTGGCCGCAGCCCGCCTGTCCCAGCCTTTCTGCCTGCTGCTGCCAAGGAGTTGGGGTGGCCCGCAGGAGCCGGTGGGCCCCGGCACTGAGCCATGCGGAACAGGGAAGGAGAAAGACTCCAGCAGCAGATGGAGCCACCCTCCACGAGGCAGGGACCCGAGGGAGCAGGGGTGCAGCTAGATGCCCCCCATCCCTCAGGCCACAGACCTGAGGTGTATCTACAAGGCTCCTCCCTAGGGTGTCTTTGTTTTGTTTTTTAAATAGAAGCCACCCACCATAAAATCCACCCGTTTCAAGTGTATAATTCACTGGTTTGGTTTTCAGTGTATCCACAGTGTTGTGCAACTATCGCCACTGTCTAGTTCTGGAACATTGTCATCACCCCAGAGGAAATGCGTACCCATTACCAGTCACTGTGCACTCCCTCATTTCCCAGCAAGCACTAATCTACTTTCTGTCTCTGTGGATCTTCCTCTTCTGGACATTCGTATACCTAGGATCATGTAACATGTGACCCTTTGTATCAGGCCTCTTTCACTGAGCATAATGTTCTCAGGGTTCATCCCTCTGCAGCCTGTATCAATGCTGCATTCCTTTTCGTGGCTGAATAGTATTCCGTTGGATGGATGGACCACTCTTTGTTCATCATTCATCTGTTGGTGGACACGGGTTGTTTCTTTTTGGCCGACATGAATAGTGCTGCTGTGACTAGTCTAGTACAGACTTCCGCGTGGATGTGTGTTTTCAGTTCTCTTGGGTGTGAGGCTAGGGGTGGAACTGCTGCTGGGTCCTGTGGAGACTCTTCTCCCTTGTGGTCCTGAAGCCCAGTTGCACCCAGTGTTGACCAGATGGGTAACGCTGCCGTGGGCTGGTCTGCCCTGCCTCGCTCGGCTCCTTCCCGACTCCCCAGCATCACGTCCTGGGGACGCCACCCGTGCATGGGCCTCTTGTCTCCAGCTCTGCTTCCTGGGGTACCTGGGCTGAGACGTTCCCCCGATGCTTCACATCCCCCTCCCCTGCTTTGTTTTCCTCCTTAGCATTTACTGCCATCTGATGTTTGCTGTTTATATTTATCTCCTTGGTGTTGGCCTCCTCCTGCCAGAATGTCAGCTCTGTGAAGTCCGAAATCTTTGCTGGTCTTGGTCACTGTGATTGGATGCTTCAGCCCTGGCGTGTGATGCCATTTCTGTAAACTCAGACAATTTCCCACTTCCTTTTTGTCCTCATCCTTCAGGACTACGGCCCCAAAGTCAACTTTCGGAAACAGAAGCTAAAGACCGCCGGCTTCCGGGGCCTCCCCAGCTTCAGCCGGGAGGTGGTGCGGAGAATGGGCCTCTACCCCATCCTGGAGGACTTCCGGCCCGTGGAGCAGTGTAACCTGGACTACTGCCCGGAGCGGGGTTCGGCCATTGACCCGCATCTGGACGACACCTGGCTGTGGGGGGAGCGGCTGGTGAGCCTCAACCTGCTGTCCCCCACTGTGCTGTCCATGTCCCGGGAGGCGCCCGGCAGCCTGCTGCTCTGCCTGGCCCCGTCCGGCTTCCCGCAGGCCCTGGTGGAAGGCGCGACGGCCCCCGGCAGGTCTGTCCCGTGCCGGGAGGTGGAGGTGGCTGTCCCCTTGCCCCGCCGCGCTCTGCTGGTGCTCACGCGAGCCGCGCGGCACCAGTGGAAGCATGCCATCCACCGCAGGCACATCGGGGCCCGCCGCGTGAGCGCCACCTTCAGGGAGCTGTCAGCCGAGTTTGGCCCCAGCGGGAGGCAGCGGGAACTGGGGCAGGAGCTCCTGCAAACCTCGCTCTCCTTTCAGGGGAGACCCACGTGAGCCGCCTCCCCGGGGACTGGCGCCAGAGTGGACCATTAGCCGGCATTGAAGGGGGCGCCCAGCCCGAGGGTCTTTCTCAGGTCTTAAGAGGAGACTGCTTGACACCCTGGTGCCCGGCAGTGCGAGCCCTGTCCGCGAGCTGGCTCGACGGGAACGGGCCTCAAGTCGGTCCCCTTTGACCTGCGCCGCGGCCACTTGCCTGGGTTGTTTAATTTGTCACAGCTTGAGGGCAGTGGCATACTTTGAGCTTAAAAATCGTTGGTACCACTTCAGGTCATTTTCTCCTTTATCTGTCTCTCTTAACAAGGTTGCCCGATGTCCCAGCCTGCAGGCCCTTCATTTATTTATTTATTATTTTTTATTTTATTTACTTTTGGCCGTGCCATGCAGCTTGCAGGATCTTAGTTCCCTGACCAGGGACTGAACCCAGGCCCACGGCAGTGAAAGCGCAGAGTCCTAACCACTGGACTGCCAGGGAACTCCCAGGCCCTTCATTTAGGGACCATGTTGGATTGGAGAACAGGATGGATAGAAGATGTGAGGTTATTACTGTTACTACTGACTTCAGAGCTGCTGACAGCTTCAGAGTTGCACTCTGCCCGGGTCATGCTTGACCCCATGGGGTGCAGGATACGGAACACTGGTGACCAGAGGTTGGCAGGGAGGGGCTTCCAAGCATCACCTCTCTCCACAGTGCTCCACCAAGAGCAGAGAGCAATTCATAACTTAAGTACTTATTTATTCAGTTCAGTCCAGGGCAACGGTTTTAAAAATCCATACGCAGGACAGGGGGTGTGCACACCGCGTGTGGTCTCCACAGCGTCATGCATAATGAATTACGCGGCACGAGACAGGTGAGCAGTGCAGATGAGCCTCGATCTGCTCAGGCTTAGGCAGTTTTATCCTCAGCAGACCTTCCTAGAAGACACTGAAATACATTCTGCCCTGGCAGTCTGTCTAAAATAGAAACGCTGGAGTTTTGAAACTTCTGGTCAGGTACTAAACGGAGACCGTGTTCCACTTTGGAAGGGGCCTCAGCGTATCTGCGGGCACTTGTTTTTATGAGCACCAGGAAGGCTCTGCTCAGAGGAAAACAGGGCGAGCCCACGCTGGCTCCGGGGCGGCCTGTGGTGCCTCTCACTCAACACAGAAAGGCCACTGCACTTGGAACCCCCTTCACAGTCAGGTTAAGCCTCCAGAAACCAAATTTCTAGCCTGCAATTTGCTTCCCTCCCCTCCGCAGACTGCCCTGCTGCAGCTCCAAATGGCAGCTTATTCTCCAGTCCTGAGGGCGCCCCCCGATCATCAGTCCCCAGGCCCACAGTCATCTCTGTTCTCACAAATTCAGTTTGCCTCATGCCTCTGGGAACTAGAAAGGCTGGAGCTGGGAGAGCTCGCTGGAGGAAAGAACAAGAAATTACAAGAACATTATTATCATCAATGTCGAAAACGTGATTATGTGGCATCTTTCCTACCCACGTGGCACTGTCACTGGGCACCTAGTGTCTGACCCTGATGTGGCCAGGCTAGAAAAACTCTGCCCATGGGCCAGGTGTAACAGCTGGCCCCTGGCTGACACCCAGAGTGTGCTCACCGCAGTCTGGGGAACTCGGCACTCCGTGGGTCTGGCACACGGGGCAGGGGCACCAGATGGCCCAGGAAGGTGGCCGAAGTTAGCCCAACAAGGCCCTCTCGAAAGCCTGAGGCCAGAGGAAGGGGCTGCCGTCCCCTCCCAGCAGTGGGGAGGAGCCAGCCTGTCTAGTCCCTGCCAGGACGCAAAGTGGCCGTCTTGCAGTGCCGCTGACGTTCTTTTGCAAAGCAAACACATTACACCAGACGAGCCTTTTCAGCAAGGCTCTGGGAGAGGAGACATGCGCTAGGGAGCAAGCAAGTCACGACAGATGTCTGCAGAGGATGCGAGGGACACGCCCTTTGGAAGGTGCTAGGGCTCTCCTCCAGCCCAGCAAGACACGATGTCCAGGCTCCCCGTAAATGCCATGACTTGCACTGGTGATTCTCAGCATTCAGTTACGTGTTAAGGTTCAGGTTCTCAACAGGATGTCACAGTCCCAGAAACCTCAGCCAGGCCTGCCCGCACTTCTTGATACAGGCAACCCAGACCCCACAGAGATATCAGGCTGTGGACAGAAATGCCGTCAGAGCATGAAGTCCAGTGACTGAAACAAAAGAAGAGGCACCACTCTCTGGTGGCTGCTGGCCAGTGTGGTAAATGTGGTTCTTAAAAGCGGCCCAGGGCGCAGCAGGCTCACATGTAAGCTGAGCTGTAGCATGTATGTGTTCGGTCCAAGAACACGGGCTCAGGTCTACCAGACGCCCTTCTGAAAAACACCGGAACCTGTGCTGCATGGCTGCATAGAAGTGTGAGCTGGGCCTGTGCCTGCGGCCAGGAGGCCCAGGAGGGGAGCGCTCCACAGGGTCTCACCTTCCCTGCCGTCATTATAAGCAGGACCCACGTTTGGCCAGGGCTGGCCGCTCATGCTACCACCCACAGACCAGGCCCGGACACGGCCTTGTCTAGACAGGAAGTCCCCCGGCTGCCCCCTCCCGCTGCCGGGGACCACAGGCAGCAGGGAGGTGGGCGGGCTCGGGTGCCTGGGCGAGAGTGCGCCTGCCTTCTGCAGCCACAGCCCGGAGGGTCAGCTGGTGGCTCAGGGGGCAGTCTGTGGCCGAGAGACGGAGGCCTCTGGACTTTGGGCCCTTTCCCCAGCCTGGTGGCCTCGCTGGGTCAATGTGGCCAAGGATCCAGCTGGCAGGGAAGAGAGAATCTGAGCCCAGTGTGCCTCAGAGCACCCCTCAGTTAACAGCCACCTCCAGTGGGCGCCCACAGACTGGCCTCCGCCCTTGGACGGCTCCCCCAGGGCCTGACAAGTCTGACGCCTGCTGGACCACGTGCCCTGGGCTCCTGCTTTCCTTCCCCAGCCCCACGAGCCAGGCCGCCCAGCTCCCTCCACGGCAGGGAGGGAAGCACCAGGCCAAGCTGTAAGCCTGTGCCCCGTCTAATCGTAGCAGGGTGGTACCATCAGACGTGCCACCCGGCTGCCACCAGCCTAGCTCAGGAGTCACGGGGCAATCCCTTCCCTGAGCCCATGGTGCTACTCCGACTCTCCAGGTCCCTGCCAGGCTCCCGGCCCCCACCGGCCGCTCGCTCCAGGTCTCCGAGGTGACCCGTGACCACCCGGTGCTACTCGGAGCCCGGCCTCCAGCCTCAGGAAGTGCCCAGGGCCAAGGACTCGTCCTTTCTTTCCCCTGAGCTCTTAGCATCAGTCTCCCGTTTAACTGAAGATTTCCATCTTCTGAAGGAAAACGATCCAGGTCTTAACAGCATGAAGACAGGAGTAGAACTTTGGTCTTGAACCACCTGGCAGTGTCTCGGCAGCCCCGTTGGCAATTTGCATTTCTGAAATTCCCCATACCGCAAGCGAGTTCTGTTCCCTCCCAGCGAGGCGTGGACGCTGAGCTGACGCGGATGCGGCCGCGGACACGCGGCATCGGCCCCGCCTGCCCAGGAGCGCACACGCTCACACCACCTGCAGGCTGCGCTCGTGCCCATCCAGCTGCACTTTGAGCTTGTGCAGCTCCTCGATCTCGCGATTGTGCCGCTCGGTTTTGTGGCGCACCAGCGAGCGGTAGAAGTGGATGGTGAAGACCACGAAGATGAGGCCCACGGGCACCATGATGATGGTGGACACCAGGGCGGCCTGCCAGCCCGTGTGGCCCCCGGGGCCAGGTGGAGGGCCGGGCTGGTGGCGCGCGTCCACGGGCAGGAACTTGATCCAGCAGAGCAGTACCACCTCGGCCAGGAAGAGCAGGATGCCCAGCACGGTGGAGAAGCCCCAGGCCAGCTCGATGTAGGGGTGCATGCGCTCGTGCGGAGACTCGCTGATGGAGTTGAGGTTGTGGATGTTGCTCACGGCCTCCACGTTGGGCAGGATGCACGTGCTGACGAGCAGCGCGAACAGGTGCACGGCCACCAGCACCGTGGTGCACGCGCTGAAGGCGACGAGCAGCGGCCGCGGGTATTGGTACTGAGTCTCCAGCTGCACCTCCACCATGGCCACCTGCAAGGCAGAGGGGGCGCTGGGTCGGGGCGCCCACAGAGCAGAGGGCGCCCTCCTTGCTGATCAAATATTTTGAACTTTACTCTTTTTTTTTTTTTTTTTCTGATTAGCTAAAGAAGATCTCATTCAGGGAAAATCTAAAAAGTACAGAAGAGGCCAGAGAAGCACTGGGCAGGGCGGTGATCGCACCCTGGATGCCAAGAACGTAGGTATATTGGGGTGCCGGGCTCTGGCCCAGGGCAGAGGCCACGCTTCCCTGGGAACATGCGACTTTGCTGTTGATATCAGAGCCGGGCTGCAGTGGAGCTTAGCTGCAAAACAACTGATGTTTCTCAAAAAAACAAACCTGACCTTTCAAGAGGTAAAAAGAAGTAATGATGGAGGCTCCTGATGGTCCCTAGGCTCAGAGCCGTACACTGGACGGCCTCACACAAGCCACAGGGTGCCTCTCAGCTGAGGCCAAAAGCGGGAGCGAGCAGCCACCTCTCCAAAGGCCGGGAATGGTCATATAAATGACAACAACGGTGAGGAGGGGAAGCTGGGAAGGGGCTGGGCTGGGACAACTGAGCTGAATCAACGGGAGCAGGAGACCAACAGGAAATATGTAAAAAGGGTAAGTCAAGAGACAGCAATTCCCAAACATCATTAGAGACGTGGAGGCGGAGGGGCTGCCAGGGTTTGTCACAAGCCCTTTGCAGTACTTAATTTTAAACTGCACATGTGATAACTTTGAAAAAATAAAAACGACTTTTAAATGAAAGGGAATAAAAGGCTCACAGAAGGACCAGAAGCCCCTGCTTATCTCTGTAGCAGTTGAGTGTCTATTTAGGCTGGGATCTGCTCACCACGAGCCCTAAGGGGCTTTCAAAGTCCAGACTGGGCGCCAGGCTCCTGCCACGCTTCTCCAGGTCACACCCAGTC